AAAGGGGGTGGTTTAGGATCACTTTTATTTATTTATTTTAATTATTACTTGAAATAAAACATATTTAGTAGTTATAATAAGTTTTTTTAAAAACACTCAAAAATAATTTAGGTGTTCCGAGAATTTTTAAAAACAAGCTAATTAGTTTTGAAAACAAAAATAAGTGTATGCAAAAAATGAATTAAATAAACATGATTTGAGGGTAAAAAACAGAGTAATTCAAAAGAAACCCCAAGTATTTGTGATTCATTGAAACTCACCAACATTGACCTCATGTTGCTGCTTCTTATTAGCCACTGTATCAAAGTCGACAGCAGGCTCGGGGTCCTACGAAGTCAAGAAGAATGCAACAGAAGAAATATTAATTGAAAAAAATGTATATTTATTTTTTTAAATCAGATATAGAAAGAGCTAATGAGCTATTGCCTAAGCCAGTAAATAGTATATATCATATAGTATTGTCCTTATGATAAAAAGCTGGGGTGGGAGCATAATGCTATAATTCTACAGAAGACAATCGAACTCTTAATTATACATACATACACACATATATAAATATATATAAATAAATAAATAAATATATACCTATATATATATATATTATATAAAGGCAGCAACTCATTCAGCAAAAAAAGTCAACTTTTAATAACATACCTGCCACCCAATTCCTAGGTATTATATAACGTCCAAACTTTACATTTTACATTTATAACACCAAATCTTACATATCACATAAAAAAGACGACCATTTTAACTTTTGAAAAGTGAAACTTACCTTTTTATGCATATAAGGTGGTATGCATGTAAAAATTGAAGTTTAGGTGTTAAATATGAAAATACATAAAGAATTAAGTGGTATGTACGTAAATCTTCCAAAAAAAAACCAAAAGAAAAAAAAATAAATAAAAAACTGCGCTTACAAATTGGTTTATGGTAGGGTGCAGCCACCCAGTAGTAATAGCCTTTGCACAAGCAATGGCTTCCAAACCCCCAGAAGCACCAAGGCAATGGCCTATCATGGACTGAAGGTAGAAATTTTTAAGGTACATTAAATAAGAACACAATCATTGAGAGGAAACAAAGTAAGTAATATTGAAAGGATTTATCCACAGATATGAAAAATTTAGATATCTACCTTAGTTGCATTCATCTTGATATCCTTTGGGTTCTTGAACACCTTTTTTATGGCATTCACCTCAGCAAGGTCACCAGCAGGTGTAGATGTAGCATGAGCATTAATATAATTAACCTGAAAAGAAAATCAATAATACATAAATGAAGAGCCTGAACAGCATTTCATATCATTTTAGATAAAATTTTATAAAACAACGGTAAAAATAGCAGCAAATCACACAAAATGGTACTACACAACATCGTTTTTGAATTGGCTTTTTTCTGTTATTATGCATCGTGAATGGGCAGTTGTGGTTGGGGTACCTGAATTCAATGTATGAATTCCTGATACCAAGATGCCACTGTGCTTCTTGCCCGATGGTAGGTTTGGAATTGAACTTGTTAGTATAACAGAATGTGCATATAACATTAGGGAAATTTACATCAATAGCACCCAAGTCCTATGTATTTACATGTATAATCCTAGCTTTTACTTTTTACAGTCATACCACCCAAATCATTCATATCCCATCAAAAGTATCACTATTTTAACTTCTAAAAGTAAAATGCACCTTTTCATGCATGGATAAGGCGGCATTATGTAAAAATTGAAGTTTAGATGTTAGATACAAAAAATTCATAAGAATTGAGTTGTATGTATGTATATCTCCCATAACATTATTCCATGTGAGAGATCTAGCCAGTTAATAAACCTCCATCGTCTTAACCTTAAAAAATCAAAAGAAAAATCACAAGACGTCACCCAGTTGATTTAAATTTTACTCAGATGTAAGTGAGCCAAGCCAGCTCGTGCCAGCTCACGAGTCAGCTCGAGCTCGACTCATTAACGAGCTCGTGAATCAAGCATATCGACCTATGAGCCGCGAACTCGTTCTCTAGCTCAAACTCAAGTTTGTTTATTAAATGAGGTCGAGTTCAAGCTTGTTTAGGCTCGGCTCATAAGCAAACTCGATCAGCAGATCAATGGTCATGTTGATGCTTTCTTTGGCGAGCTGCCATGACACTCCTCTAGCCTTGATGACATCACAGGTGAGAGCTCCCATGATAATTTGATTTTTGGCTCGAGCTTGAAAGACATTGGGAGTTAAGCTTTAGCTCGAGCTTTCATCTTTACAGATGAGCCGAGCTTGGGTTATAGGCATGATTTGAGATTAGCTCAACTTCTTTACACCCTTAACTTTCACTACTATGGAAAGAGATATAAGATGCTACCCTTTTCTCATTCAAGCAAGGCATCCACAATAGTTCATTGTAGATAAATGGTGGTTGGCACACCTAAAGGCAATTGTGATGCAAGTTTCAATTAATATGGCATCGGTCAGTAGATGGTTGTCAGGCTGGCTCATGTAAGGGACTGCCGCGCTATGTCTTGAGGATGATGGATGCGGGAATGGTCCTTTAGTGGTTGGTAGGGATGCAAGTTTCATTGCAACTCAAGCCCTGATAAGTCTTGTGGAGGGTTTTTCAAAGGATTTTAATAGGATATGGGTGACAAGCAAGGCTTGGATAATCTCTACAAATAAACGGAATCATGGAATGATCTCACAATAAACATGCACAGACGGTGTTTTAATTTTGGTGGCAAGGATAGTCCAATGGTGGCCGCTTCCAATCTTAAATATACTATCATAAATGTTGGTGCTTCCATGGTGACAGATCGATGCTTCTTCAATGGATTAGTAGAAATATTCAGAGAACATTCACTGCTTCTCAATTAGGGTCATCGAAAAATAACAAATTTCCACCATTTTCAAACGGCTCGACTGTTTTAATGAGCAGTCTGCAGCAAATATATTGTAAAATGGTGCAGTTAGTGATTGAGGCATGATAACTTCAAAAAGTTAAAATCTTTCAAAAAGATCTGCACAGTACTGAAAGGACATTTGGAGAATCACAAACAACAAGCACTGCTTATGGCTCCCTAAACGAGAGCTTTTTATAAGCGGCGAGACAACTCACATGGCCATCATTAACAACAGAGTTGGTGAAGTCGACTTCACCCTTATCCTTGCATGAAGCAACAAGGTTGTGACAAGAAACCGACCTGTTTGGGCTGTTTGATGGGTTCGGGATTTTTAAAGCAACTTATTTTCGATGATTTTGAGGTTTATGAATTTGTGATGATGTGCCGGTCATTGCAGAAGAATTTTCAGCTAATTTTGAGCTTAATTGGCATCTGATATAAAACATGAATAAATTTATTCACCAATTTGATTATCCAGATCGCATAGAGATGCTTGCTCTAAAATGAAAATCATAATTGATTAGATAGTGATATTTACGATCCTGTCGGACATTATACAAGAGTTTTGGTTTCATTCTCAGCTAATTTGGTACTTGGTTTAATCAATATAAATAAAATTAGGCACCAATTTTAGTTGAGTTGCCTCAAGATGCATGTTTTACATAAAAACATCAAACATGTGATTGATTATATATGATTTTTTATAATTCCAACAGAAACATTATTTATCCACCCAAAATCAGGCACTAATTTTATTGATTTGAGTAGCCTTGAAATGTGCATCCTACCTTGTACTTGGTCAAATAGGAATATTTATAATCCCAATAAAAACAATTTCTACCAATTTATTTATCTAAAATTAGGGAACAATTTGATTTATTTGAGCAACACAGGCGAGCAAGGTGGCAGGATGGCATGAGTGTATATATCTTAAGATCCCTTCCTAATTATAACGTCACTGCCACTCCTCATCCCCCAACATAGAAACAGAAAATAGAACGTACCCATATCCAGTTCACAAGACTAGCAGGTAGTGTGAGAACAGCAGTAAGTTATACACGATCACATTCTACCAAAACTATTACAAAAAAGTAAGCCGCAAAGTATGAATTCTCTAAAGGGAAATTTTCATATATACCACAATTCTTATGAATTTACATATCTAACACCCAAAGTATGATACATACACTTATAACAACTTGGAGTCATAAAACTATCCATGGAAAGGTGTATTTCACTTTTAAAAAGAAAATGATGGTGATATTTTTTATGTGCGCTAAAGATTTGAGTGGCATATATGTAAACACAATAAGAATTGTGAGATATGTATGTAAATGACTGATGCAGCTCTGCGATCCGGATGCAGCCTTCCTGGAGCTGGGTGCACTTCTCTGGACAGTTATAGTTGGGTTTCTATCATATCCATATATATAGATATGTATATATATATACTTATATAGTTACATATAGTCTATAATCTGCTTACCATAATATTTGCTTGGGCCACATTAGCTATTTTTATAGCTTTCTTAATTACTCGTTATGAAAGGAGTGTGGTCCCCCCAGTGATTAGTTACAACATTACTCTCGTTTCGGCTTTAGAGTGTGGTAAGAACCATTGTGCTTCTACAGTTTTCTGAATTACAGAACTTTCACCTGATTTCCTTTTCTTCCTGCTTATTTTGCTCTGTTCTTGGCTTTTGCTCCATCAAGTTTTGCATCATATTGGTATCAGAGCCAGAAATGGCGCACGGCGCAGAACTTCAGCTTTTGGCGGTAATCAGAGCTGGGAAGTTTTACAGAAGTTGCAGACGCACCTCGAGCGCAGGGTGGACAGCCTCGCCACCGATTTACGGTTTTTTGTCACTGAGATGGGGCAAGAACTTCAAATCTTTTGCAAAGGAGGATCAAAAGTTCCGACAACTACACCGTCGGTCATTGATAGAGGAAACCACCATTGGGAATTGTGGACGACAGCCTACGCAACAACATTGCCGTCCTCTAAACTTGCATCACGCTTGTGTCGACAAAGAAATGCACATCCGCAATGATCTCATTACTCGGTTTCAGATTCGGAGTCACATGAAGACAAGTTGCTCGAAGAATTTCCACATCGCCTCCGACCAGGTAGGGAACATCTTTACAGCAACTGGAAGGTAAAAATTGATATTCCCTACTTCGAAGACCACCTGCATATCGAAGATTACTTGGATTGGGACTTGGCGATGGAAGCATTCTTCAAGTATATGGATGTTGATACTAAAGGTGTGCTACGTCGCCTGTACATTGAAAGGAACAGGTGCTTGGTGGCAGCCAGTGACAAAACCTCACCAGAGAGGGATGAAATTAAAAGTTGGGCTCGGATGAAGCAACTTCGACGTAATCATTTTCTAACTTTCGATTATGAACAAATTTTGTATGTAAAATTCTGAAGATGCTCCCAAGGGAACCGATATGTCAGTGCTTACGCCGAGGAATTCCACCGTCTTAGTGCCCATAATGATTTACGTGAATCTAACCAACAAATTGTAGCTCCCTATATTGGAGGATTGAAGGAGGCTATACAGAAAAAATTGGAGATGAATGTTGTGTGGTCGTGGTCGCAAGCAATAAATTACGCATAGAAGGTCGAAATTTTGTTAAACCGAACTCCACGTTCTTTTAGCCATCAAAAATCAGTTGTCCAATCTTCCATAGATGGTGGTAAGGGACCTCCTTAGAACAACTAACCTATCTCTAGTCCTACACCTAATTCTGCCACTGCATCCAGTGGAGAAGATGCTATAGCAAGTGACATAATGGTGTCTTATAAAGATAGTTTATATCTGTGACCGGGGCCCATGAAGTGTTTCAGATCTTTCCAACCCGGACATCAATCTAATTAATGTCCAAACCGAAGGCAAATACAAGTTGCAAAAGGGGAAGGTGATAGTGACGATGAATGTCACGAGCATAATCCAATCAAAGAAGGTGAAGTGGAAGAGATTCCTGTTGATGAAGGGGAAATCTTAAACTTTCTAGAGAAAGTACTACTTGCTCCGAAATAACCTATTAAATCCCAATGCGATGCTATTTTCCGGACTAGACGCACAATTGAACGTAAAGTATGAGAATTAATTGTTGATGGTGGGTGTATCGAGAATGTGATACCTAAATGTGTTGTAAAAACATTGCAACTAAAGCTCACCAAGCACCCAAAGCCAAACAAAATTACAACAACAATAACAACAAGCATTAATCCCACTAAGTGGGGTCGGCTAAATGAATCCATTTTCTGCATTGCATCCTATTGAGTGTCATATTTTCATTTAATTCTAATAAATTAAAATAATTTTTTATACGATATTCCCAAGTCTTTCTAGGTCTACCAC